TGTTATTATGAACAGTTTTTTTAATATTTCATTAAAATGCTTTTAACCATCATTCTGAGTTCAAAATTTCAGAGAATGATTTCTTCTTAAACAAAAAATTTTACACTGTATTCTATTGAAAATCAGGAATTTATCCATTACAAAAGTAAATTTGAGAACATTAAGGTTTGACCAATCTTAAATTAGCCACATTCCGATAAAAACTGAACAAAAACAAAAATACAACAGAAGCAGAGAAGATGGAACAAAAATGACATTAGTTACTATGATATGCCATAATACATGTGTCAGGTCATTTTATGATCCACTGTTCGTGTTAAATATTATGCAAACTAATGAATGTTGACAAAGGAGATGTAGTCGTAAAATAATAGCAGATAGGGAGGTTTACTTATTGGGTTCAGTAATAAAAACTATCGGACTTGCAAAATAAGATCTACTTAAACTTGCAAGCACATTTAAGATATTTTCAGAGGTGAAGTAAGCTTTAATGGAGTGAACAGAGGATGGGAGTGATTTTATTTCACGAACAGATCGTGAGAAATTATTTCAGAGTCTGGACAATTTATCGGTACAGTAATTCATATGGAAAGATTCGGAATGTAATTGTTTTCACTATTGACAAGGAATTACGTGTGTTGTAACTAGGAGTTCTCGCAAATTGAATTACTTCACTGGATGTGAAGGATAGTTTATTAAGTATTTCGAAGGAGAAGGCTGGATTTAGTTTGAGTCTCCTCTTGGATAAATGGTCCAGTCTAAATTGATTACATGTGGACTTATAATTCAAGGTGAAAATCAGTGCAGAGTATGCGGAGTGCAAGTCGTCCCAGAACGGATTCTAACCTTAATTTACCCTTTATACAAAACCTATTAAGAATAAACATGTAGTATTCTAGGAGTGGTCGAAGACATACTGATAGACTATATACCAAATAATAGCAACAACATATCTATCGGGATGTAAATTACTGAAGAAATTTATCAACGATTTACACTTCATAATGTTTGAAAGTTGCAATTAGTCGAATAATAACCAGCTTGTTATGGTTCATATGATCAATATGTAATAATCCTCAGGAGTAACACATTAGCCGTTACCTGGTTAGACTTTCACATGCATGTGTCCGTTTTCGATGACAACCAAATGACATAAATATCATCTCAACTATATCGAGGCATACATTGTACGTATATGGCATTCGAGGATGACTGATATTAATTGGATCTGATAAATCAAGGTGGATATAGCTTGTTCAATATAGTTGGTAAGACAGTTCGAGTCAGATTAATATCTACTATAAATCTTCATGGACATGTTAGCCACGATATTGTTATTTTATTTACTTCAGTCCAAATAAATACAAAGATTCTAGAACTGTTTGTTGCTTGCATTATCTTTACATATAATGTGCTGTTTGAATTGAATATGTGTTTATATATGGAGCTATTGATTTTACAGAAAACTATATTACCTTTATTCAAACCATCATTCATAAACTGAAATATACGGAAATTAATAAAACCATGATATAATTGCGTTAAAGTAATTGTATGCGTGTATTTTTCTATTCATCATTTCAATCATGTTGAATATTCAACATAATTCATACCCACATTTTAATCCACTCTCGATTTCACGAATTCTCCTCAAACATGTCGTTCATTTATTCATGTGACTGTTGACGACGATAATGATTATTAATATTATTAGCAATCATAGTGATTGTGAGTGGATACAAAATGATAGACGGATTGATGCTGGTCATTCAATTTCCTAAGCACATACAAGTCACGTTTCAGTATTGTTTCTCTTCACACAATGATTGCTGAGTAGAAATTAAGATGAATATATTGACAGATAATAGAATCGATTCAATTATGACGTAATTCGGAGTTTCTGTGTCACAAATTGAAAATTCCTGAAACTCTCAACTGTCATTCTACCCATTGACAATGAATGAAATTGAGATACTGATTGAAAAGTGACTTGATTCTCAAACATCATGTTCAATGTTTAAAAGTGTGTAGTGTAAGTGAGAGGTTGACAAGTGTGAAAGGTTTTTGATGATTTCCGTTAGAGCAATGGTGAAGTTTGAATCTGTTTGTATTCATATTCATCATCTATGTAACTGTACGAGTTCAAGTTCTGTGAGTAACGAAGTTAGTTCCGAAAGTCCAATTTCGTGTGAGTGCAGTTGGAATGTGATTGGCTGGATTTATAAGTGAATGAATTGTAATTTCGGTGGAAATAAATAAATAAATTTACAAGTGATTATTCGACTGGATATTTATTTTTCTTTACATCCCACTCTATAAAATGAATGATGATGGAATATAGGAAAGTAGAATTTGATGGTATTCATTCCTTATTTGAAATACACGAGAGATATAAATTTGATTGCAGAACACTAGATGAAATGTGTACAAATTATATTTGAAATTGTAGAACAGTCCATGAGATTATTTCATCCATTCGAGGTTGAATAAAGTGTATGTTAACTGTAGATGGTTGTCCAACTAAGATCAGTTCTTCATGCAAATTTAAAAAATTTGATAATCTTTATAAACTCTTTATACCAAGAAAGTAAATTCCCAGGTCGTTGAATCGAGACATTATGTTCAGTATTCTGAACATTCACAATTAAGCTTTACTTATATGTCTGGTGTTACGTCATATTATATAATTATATATCCTCCTAAAGTCCATGTTTAAAATTGGGCTCATGAGTTTATATTAGCAGTGTTTAATCACTACCGTTTTTCATCCCAGACAGTTTTGAGATATTCAATTCGGTTGAATTCAACCATTAAATTATATTTAATTAACAAAAGAAGAGAAAAAAATCTATATTTCAACCAAACAATCATAGATTAACAACTAAATCTAAGAAACCCAGTTCTTAGGGTCAATCAAATTCTATTAATCAAACTGTGACATGACCAATAGTTTGAGTGACTAGATATTATGGTAGACTTTCTTTAGTGTTAGATAATTTAGAACAGCCCACTTAAGTTCATATGACGTAGCATTTAAGATAGTTGGTTGAGATATTTTGTAGTGCAGGCTAGAATAAAACACAAAAGGAATATCACTTCTCTCAGAGTTACAGATATCCTTTACCACGTCGTATAGTGTGAAACTTGGTATCAGATCATCTTGTCAACTACCTTCAAACATCCAACAACAAACACTTTCGTACACAAAAACTAGAGACTCAAAACTTATTTAAACCGTAAAACATAAAATTCATCCCAAATATTTAACCATTTTAGTAATAAAAACTGGACAGCTTTATTATCGTACAAAATATTTTTTATTTCTTCAAAAATAATACTTATTGATTAAAGCTAATTATAGATTAAGTTTTTGATTTTATACAAAGGCACTACTGAGGAGTCCCATACTATGACGAAACGGACGTCCAGTACTTTCAGGTTTTCAATGGTGGTCTAGCTTATAATAACTCATGAATTCAACTATTAAAATTACTAGAGTCTACACAAATCTCCATCCTAACTTTTCCAAATATCAAAACATTTCTGTTCTTCAATGATTTTGATAAGTCTCTCTGTAAACTAAGTCTTATATTTTATATTATAACTTTTGCAGCATCATGAGTAAATGAATACTGATTTTTAACTTTTGTCAATTGTATATTGAAGTGTATATTTGTCACATATACCTCTATATACTTTTATTAAGTGTATCGCAATACAATAAAAAAAATTATTGGATTCCCAATAAGTCTCATAGTTAGTATATGGGGAATATGATAAAGCTTTTCATGACCATCTGTCTTCAACAAGTATATATGCGTACATATTTGATTAATAATACACTCAGTTCATCTTAATATCATATTTTTTATGCATGTTTTGACAAGCTAGTTAGCAATCATACATCTTCATGTATACAATTAGACAATCACTGAATGAAAATAAACTTAAAGTAGAGCGAGATGGTGGAGAATATTTGTAGCTCAGGTGGATGATTTTGATGGAGTTTTATTCTCTGAGCTGGATGGTTTGGTCGTGGAGCTTTCATCGTTCGTCTGAATGACATCATCAGCACAAACTTCAAGTAGAACTACTGATGATGTCAATCAGAAGAACAATGAAAGCTCCACGACCAAACCATCCAGCTCAGAGAACAAAACTCCATCAAAAGTAGAGCGAGTATATATATATATATATATATATATATATATATATATACAACCGTTCTAAGGCTTTCACGGCCAGGATGTTGTAGAGATGATAACTTTGAAAGACACCGACTCGTAAGAGCTTTCATATTTTTTTGGTTTCATCACTGGTGGAGACCAGTGTAAATTCACTCGATTAACTTAGCAGTAATATTGCATAGGTAAAGCGTTAATTTACAGACACAAATAATTGCACTCTTCAACCGTATTCAATCGAATACAATTATCACTTCTACAATAAAAACGGATAACTTAATACCTTTTAAATATAGCGTCGAATTCACTGACTAGCTCAAAAACCTGCAAATCACTTCTTGTTGTTTTTATGTCAATGTATTTCAGTGTAACCAACGTACTGAAACTTTTTACTTATTTCAGTACTAAATTATTAAAAAAGAGTTCACAAAAAAATTTTCACAATGTCATGTAGTATTTGTTGAAATTTATCAAATGAATCATTCAGAAATTTTAAGTGAACTACCACTGATTTTCAAATCCACATAAACATGACAAGATGTAGTTGAAAAAATGATTAGCAAACGAGTTGAAATAATAGTAGTATCAATGATCGTGAAAAAAATAAAACTTAATATCGAAAATATAATTAAAATCGAAATGATTAGAAATTATATATAAAAGAATACTGTACCCCAATCTGTGAATGTAGATAAAGAGTGAATGTATCTGTGACAATCTAACTGTTACAGAGTCATATCATCTAATACCTCTAAACAATTATTATACATATCCTAGCCTGGTTTTCCTTACTTACCAACACAGTTACTACTAACACTCAATATTTATATGAATTGATATTATGTTCTGATTTGTCCACCCTTAACCTTCCTCTAGCCTATTCATAACCAAACAAGTATCACAAATCGAGACACATTGTAGTATGACACCTTAAGTCTAACTTCAATCTCGTCTACTCCATTATTCCACCCAACTAGAACATTGTTTTGAAGACTAATATTATATTCTTTAGGAGTACCAGTAATCGTATTAGTATAACAATAGTTACTGTTGTATTTATATACATTTCTCATTTTTATAACAATAATATAATTATAAATCTGATAAATAACAATAAAACTGAATTAACTTTCTTTATCTTTTGAAATCTGTACAATAAGTCTATTGAATTCATTTATCATTAAACCAAATCAGTTAGTATATCTGAATAAATAAATAAATAATCTGTTCAGCAACAAAGAATTAAAAATAAAGGAAGATGTAAAAGAACTCCAAAAACAACAACAAAATAAAGAAAAATTCAAAAAAAAAGAATGAATCTAATTTAAATATGGTCTCCATACATTTTCTTGTTTAATATAATGTGATATATTTTCTTTTTCATTATTCATTACATAATTATTCCATTGTTTCATGATTACATCATTTTGTGATTTAATTACTGGATGATGATGATGATAATTATATGTGATATTTTGATTTTTTAATTTACACCAACGATATTTTAATGGTAATCGAAATGTATGATGTTTAATTGTTGTATTAGAATTAGATTCATTTAAAATATTTAAACAAGTAAATGGTATAGAATGATTTATATTAGAATATTTTATTATTTCTTCATTATCTAAATGAATTGAAGAATAATTAGAATAATTTAATGGATTTATTTCAATAGAATTTTGTTCAATTTTATGTAAACATTGTGATAATGAATTTAAATGATTCGATTTGATATTCATTGAATTTGAACTAGAAGAAATTGATGAAATATTATTTGTTTCTTGTGAAGTTGAAGTAAGTTTATGTAAACGGGATAGTAATTCTAAACAAAAAAAAAATATGAGAAAGGGAAAAAAAGACTATTAGTTTTACAGTTAGTATTTGATTATGAAATGAATATGATATTAACTTGTCATGAAAACATTAAACAACAGTCTTTTTAAGAGAAGATGGATAGTGGATAGCAGTGGAATCCAGTTTGATGCACGTTTCATCCAATTTAGGACTCGTCATCTGGATGGATCTGTATCTCAGAGTTGATGTTCATTTTGGGATTCGAATCCTGTACCGTTCACTTTGAACGCCATCGCGTTATTTACTTAACTACAGAATCCTGATAACCACCTACTTGTGAAATTGGATGAAGTATAAATTCACTTAGTGTTGTTTTGCTTGTATCTTTCTATTAATATTTAGGAATTTAATCGATTAGTCTCTTGTTGGCATATGTACATGCTGTACGGATTTTCTTGATATCGCCTTAAGTCACAATTTAAGCAAAGATCTTGATTACGTAACCGGGGATTCACTGGTTTAAGTTCAACTATAATCTCTAAAATTCAATTTCCATATAAATATGAAACATTGTGAATCAAGGCTATCACAGACAAGATTAGAAGTTAAATAAATCTTAGTTAATATGAAAGATACTTTCTGGTACAGATCAATAGGATTTCAAATGTCTATTTTTATTTTTCTATTACCATACATCAACAATTGGTTTTGCATAGATTTACAGAAAACAATTTGTTCCAGTGAGAACCATCCCCTTCTTATTTATTTGTTTAAACGGATACCAAAAGCAGTATTAGTTACTTTTCAGAAGAACAAAATTTTTGGTTAGTTAAAAAAATAAACCAGAAGATTATGAACCACTAATTGATAAATTAAACTTACCAGGTCTGTCCTTCAGAATTTTAGCGATTCCTTCAAATATCATATAACAGATCCCGAGTATATCATTCTTCTCCATTTTGGAGTGTTTTGATGGCTGGAAAAGTTTTTTAAAAAACAAGAAGAATATCATCAGTCATTTGAAAGTTAATGTATATTGAAATTTTAATACTTCAAACTTCCCTTTCATTTTCATAACGAACTACTTATTATTGTTCTAAGTAGTTTGAGTTATAAAATACATTCTATTATATTCATATTCCATGTATAATTATCTAAATGTGTGTCCTCCTAATAAAAATTCCATGCTTCCAAAAAATTTCACTGTACGGTTATGGAGATTGTTGAGTTTTGATTGAGATCGTTAATCGACCAATGGTAGACCACCATTGTGGCTGCGCACTGCTGAAGAGTCCAACACTAGGACGAAATAGCCGTCTAGTGCTTCCTGGTTCCCAATGGTGGTCTGACATTGATCGATTCATGATCTCGATCAAAATTTTAGACATTTATTAGTTTTCAATCTGTTTTTTTTGTTAATTCTTGCAATACAACTAAGTTAAAAATTAAGTTGAAAGTAGGAAAATAATTATTTATTTTGTAGCTCAAGAGATTCCTCTTACGGTGAAAAACTTTTAAACAAACAACTAACTAAGAACTTACATCTTCTCCAATTAATTTCATAGCTAAATTATGCAATGCATTCATTTTATCTGAAATGCAAGCACGACGTTGTCGTTCTGTGTTTCGTTTCTTTAACTGAAATAAAAAAATTAATTGGAAGATTTTGAGAAATCAAATATTCCCTGTAATGAATATTTTAATTGCCCAAGTTAAACAATATAATAAGCGATATTAATAATTCATTTACGCTCCAAAAATGCACAAAATATAGTTTTTTTAGAAGACATAAATTATTTAACTCATCTAGGTCGAGAATGAAATACAATCAATGACATGAGATAATCATTATGAATTGACTGAAATGGGAACAATGAACCATGAGATATCGACTCAGCAGTCTAGAAGTATCAATGGTATATATATATATATATATATATATATATATATATATATATGCACTGGCGGTTTGTTTGAATATCTGGGCTACCTGCTTCTACCATCTGAATATTTCAAAAAGTTATATTTTTATTTTATCACATCATTATGTCTATTAATGGCATAACCTATTCAAGCGCGTATATAAAATATTTACGACCTTTCGCTGTACGAGTTTCAAAAAAGTACAATCAGAAACATCGTGGTGGATGGTAATATGCACTGAAAAGATTGAACATTATTTAGATGTCGTTTCCTGAACTGCTAACATCTAACTAGCGATTATTAATTAGCAATTTGGACTATCTTCAATTTTTACTAAGTTTAGACATGTACCGTGATTGTGGTGTAATTACAATTAACTAGGAATTCAGGTTAAATTATTTACAAGACGATCACTCAGTATCACTACAAGATTTCAATATTTATCGTCAGCACCGATCAAGCAATAAGAAAAGAAAACTTGTTGAAACACTGTGCTGAGAATCCTATATTGTACCAAAGATATAACATTGAATAGTCACTAATAATAATAAATAATGTCTTTTGAAAAAAATACCGAGTAATTGATATGAAATAGTCATTATATTCATAATTTATATTTTGATTAGTTCCCTTAAAAATAAATTCACTTAAGACTTTTGGACAATAGGCTAAAGTTGTTTCATTTTAATAGCAATGATTTATAAAAATACTATGTATACTCGTAAGTTTTAAAGTTGTGTTCTTACCCGACGAACTTCATCACGGATTTCCAGTGGTATTGTTGACCGTCTACCTCGACGACTGGGTAAGCTGTTCATCATTGAGTTTCTGGAGATTGTGGAGTTTTGGGTCGGTGGTGTTATATTATATGGTTCGGTTTTCATGTCAGATGTAATAAATCTTTCACATTCAGAATTTGTTGTAGAGAAATCATTTGTAATTGTAGACTGAACTGGTATCATACTACTTTGATGAAATTGATTTGAGCATTCCTTCATTCCACTAAATATATATGGTTTTAATTATCTTCTTGACCAATGAGACAGCAGAAGCCACATGAATAATTTAACTGAACGGCGCATGCATTCTAGTTGACCAATCAAAATCCGACTAATATATAGCCTTACGCTTACACATGTAATCCAAATGACAATTGCCCTCTGAACGTTCACTTTCCCTTAGGTCACCACCATTTCACCCTATGAGTCAATTAATTCTAATGTTCTTCCCATCATAGTATTAGAAACTGGTAAAAAAAAACACGTTTCTACTTGTTTGTCAATTTGGTTAGAATTCACACACTGATTTAATGTAGAAAGTAAGACGATGTTTTGTAGTAATGGGATATATCTAAAATTCAATTCGAAAAAATATTATCAGCATTAATGCTGTTTTCTACCAGCAATAACAATCTGTAATGCAAATATACGATCATTTTCGACACAAACATGGACATTTTGTGTTTTTCAGTTTGAGGTTGTGAAGATTGTTGAATTTTATTGATATCATGGACCGATCAATGATAGACCACAATTGAAAACCTGGAAAAACTGAACGGTCGTTCCGTCCTAGTATGGGATTCATCGGCAGTGATCTCGTTCACGGCAATAGAACACAGGACTATCGGGTGTGACGCAGATACCCACTGAATACAATGAAAGTTGGTCGCGTGATATTGTGGATCGGTTAAAGTTGTACGTTAACACTGTTGGATGCCGGCTCAGTAGTTTATAGGTCAGGTATTCTCTTGAAAGGCCGCAGGTCTTGGGTTCGTGTCCCTTGTGTGGGATGCTGGGTGCGCACTGTTGAGGAGTCTCATACTAGGAAGAGACGGTCGTCGAGTGCTCTTAAGTTTTCAGTGGTGATCTAACATTGATCGGTCCATGATATCAGTGAAATTCGTGTTTCATTAAAATTACGAAAAGATTCAAGTTAGAGGACTATTAAAAGCCAGTAAGAACTAAAACACCTGAACAGTGCCCACCGACAGCCCCTCAACTGAGCTTTGAACCCAGGACCTCCAGTACTGTGTGAACACTTAACTTCTAGACCACTGATCCGGGACCAGATGGTGTACAAACCTAACTCCAATCAATCCACGATGTCGTGCGACCATCTCCACTATCTTCGGCGCTTACCTTCCTCAAACTCGACAAAGCTCAATTACTCACTAGAACTAGGGAAAAATCCTGCCGAAGCTAGTCGATAATGAATATGTCAGTATAGGTATGTGGCGGCCATTGATGTTTATTGAAATCACGAACCGGTTTAAGTCAGAATAATTTGTATGGTAGTTCATACTATAACTATGGAATCACTTCAAGGTGGACATCTTATAATTCTAGTGAGAAGCTGGCAGCTGGATCTAACCAAGTTTAAAGCGAGGAGTGTTATATTATTTCATAAGGCACTATAGCTAATGTCAGTTCTTTGTGAAAACAGACTTTAAATTAACAGAGTTTCTACAAACTAACTGAATGAGCAACGGAGATGGGCCGCCATAGGAACAATCCTTGTATCTGTGGTTAATAATAAAGAAGATAATTCAAATATACTAACTGAATCCCATTAGTAAACGTCAGGATGATTAAAAAAGCATAAATAACTGCAACCTAATCTCTTTTTTGGATTATTATTAATGCTCTTTACATGGCATATAAATTTAGTAAGTTAATCTATACTAATACATTATATTAATAATTGAATGGAAAAATTATGGAGTACCATGAATAAACTCCATTTTCAAGTATATAAATCTCTACGCTAAATGATTTACATGTTAAATAAATATGACACGTGAAATCCCAATTTTTCATGAATAATTCGATACAATTTAATTCATTGAAACTATTTACATAGATATTATTATTCGACAGTTATTTGAAATCATACCAGTAAAGATTAACTGTTTTTAATTAGATTCATAGTAGTATGAAGTACTTTACAGATTGTACGATAAATTTCTTCAAATAATGTTCATCTGTTATAAAAACTCACTGAATGAAATTCATTTGTTGAAATTTCGATTTAATTGATGGTAGTTTCTAAGATTTATCTCTAACCAAACTACAAAACCTCATCAAATATTACGTGTATTGTTCAAAGAATTGGAAAGATAAAACAAAGATGTCTCATTTTTGTGCTATTTTGGTCTAACAGTCAATGTAAGATCAGTACTTTGATGATAATAAAAAAGACTGTGCTTACAAAATAAACATCTATGGAATTTTTCGATAATTTCGATTCAGTTGATTTCAAATCAAGTATGAAGAATTATACATTGACACCGTCAGATTCCCGTTTAGCGGTCTAGAAGCTGAGCAAACACGCGCAAGCGATGGTCCTGGATTCATTTCCCGGTTGCAAGGTCATGGATGGACACTGTTATGAAAACCTATACTACATAAAAACGGATGTTTAATGCTCCCAAGTCTTCAATGGTGGTGTGATAAATTTTTTCATGATTTCAACTAGACCTATCCAACTGACTGGACTCTGAATCAATTTATGTTATTATGTTACAATTGTTCAACTACAGAGAAAATTAGCTAATTATCTGTAAAGTAAGTGATGAAATTTATGAGTAGCAGAATTAATGAGATCATATAAAGTAGATGATATTCTTTCTACTACTAAACTATAGTGATTTTAAGTTTGTATTTAATGTTAAATATGAAAATGAAGGTCAGTCATAATTATTTAAATAGTTCAGACTGAACGACCGAATTTATGTAAACGAACAGCTACTAAACACTATGTTAAACTAATACAACAAATAATTTGATTTAACTAACGAAACATAAAAATCATTTCTTTTGCTATGCATTACCTTGTGGTGGGAAGTAAGATTTCATACTCGAATCTATGATCCATAACTCATATGTACTTGGTTATAATCTTTGTAATCAATAGTTATATAAATTTCATATTTCATATTTTATGCTTTATAATTTATAATTCTCATTAATCAACACATCTATATCAAACTATTAGTCGATTGCACACTGATACATTATAACACTTGTTCACTCATTCACTAAACGAGTTGATGCTTGTTCACATGGATTTGGGACCAAACAACTGTGAGTCAAAAGTTTAACTAACTCAATCCAAAGATTGTCGTCTCACTCCAATAACACAATACCAGTACACAAGGTGTGTGGGATGTACAACTCAAAATGGATCACTTTATTTGGATCAGTGCCAAGTACTTTTATGATTTGTGATTAACATGATATCAACGTGAATGATGATGACTTGACTGAGAAGGGAAGAGAGATTAATGGTTCTGTGTGAACGAGATACTCACTGACCTTCATAAGAACAATCAAATTGATTATTATCATCATTATTTATTGTCACGATGATTACTGTTATTACTAATTTGAGTGTGCGTGTGTCAGTGAGTGGGTGTGAAGTACTTTTAAACATCATTAAATTTCGATGGTTGTCCAAGTATAGGCCAAATTGCTAATATAACTAAACATATCAGGCGAGTGTGTTTGTCTAGTGGAATACTAATATTACTGACTACTTCACATATTTCGAAGTTTGATTTGTCTCAACTCAATCGTGTTCTATATTTCTTGGAATTAGGAGTTTCAAATATTTTATGAATATATTTAATACATTCAATGTGACATGTAGTTAGATATTGTTTAGTAATTTTTTAGATCCACCACAATAGTTTTTCCTTCATCCTTTCAGTTTATAACCTAAATACAATAGTCTAAAATAGGATTCCTTAAAGAAAATATCTGGAACACAATGAGTGTCCTGCATTTTTCCCTACCTAACTTTTTATACCTAATGAAATTAGAATTACACCACTAAGAAATAATTTGAAATGTACCTGATCAATATTGGGAATCCATTTTCATAAACAATATGTTGTATAAATACTTCTAAGCACTTTCATTATTATCAGAAGGGGTTTTGTGGAGATTGTAGTAATTTCAATAGTTGAGATCATGAATCATTTGAAGCTAGACCACCATGGAAAATCTGGAAGCACTGGACGGCCGTTTCGTCCTATTGTAGAACTCCTCAACAGTGCGCATCCACTTTCATTATTGTTATTCGTAAATTTTTAGTTACCAGTCGAGCACAATTACAAAAAAAAACAATCATTAAACTGGTTATGTCTATCTTTTTCCAAGCCATACTGAATAAATTGCAAAACATTTAACCCGCATTGAATTTTGTATGAATAAATTTCCGCCATAACATTGAATATACGATATGTCTATCAATTTATCAAGATTTAAAAATTTAATTTTATCTGCATGTTGTAAACAAAGGCGATCAGATTGTTCATACCTGTCACATAAATATTGCATATTGCGCAAGCTATTTTCACATTGACTAGAATTATTACTAATCACTATGGTTACTGTGATACAATATGATGATAAAATCGATAATGGATCTCATGCTGATCTTAATACTCAGTTCTTGTCATTAATGTTTGAGTTAAGAATAATTTATTCGTAATAAAGATTAACTGATGTGTACTATAGTAACCAAAACTGTTATAATAAATATATTTAAGTCCAACTACTGGGTTTAGAATAGATACAGTTTGTCTAAAGCAAATGTTTTTATCATTGGATATGTGATTAATTTTGACAAAGTATTATGCATTATCTTAGTCTAACTATCCAAGCTATTTATTTCCCTTATATCAGTAGAAGTGTGAATTATCATGACTATTTCCTTGATTTCCCACTAATATTACTGCCTTCGTTATTTGAAAGCCGGATCATATTAAATAATGTAAAATGATATAGTCTACTCTTTTCAAACCTTTGTCTTCCATTCTTGTAGTAGCTGTCACAAAAATTTGATCGTTTGTTAAAGGTAATAGAAACTTTATTAATTGCCGTAACTATTTAAACTTCAGTGCTTTTATTTATCTCATGAATATGACTTATGCAAGTGTATCTATAATCAATTAATTGAACAAGCAAAAT